TTAAATTGTAGTTAAATAAATAAATAAATAAATAAAGTTTACTAAATCAGAGAAATGAAGTAGCTTTTTTGCCGTAAAGAAAAAAAAATTGACTTAAAAAAACATTTAAATAAAAAAATTTTAAGAATCGAAATTATACTTGATATAGAAAAATAATTTTACTGACTGTTAGTAACTCTGACACATTTTACTTCTATTAAATGAAATATAGTCTATAAAAACTAATTAATGAAAATATTTTAAAGTTGTAATTAAAATTGTAGTTAATTAAAATGAATTCTAACTTAAACTTCTTTTAAATTGTAATTAAATAAATAAATAAATTTTACTAAATTAGAGAAATGAAGTAGCCTTTTAATCGTTAAAGATAAAAAAATTTTACTTAAAAATATTTAAATATAAAATTTTAAAATCGTAATATAAATATAGTAGCCTTTTTTTGCTATAAATAAAAATAATTTTACTGACTATTAGTAACTCTGATACATTTTACTTATTAAATGAAATAGAGTCTATAAAAACTTATAATGAAAATATTTTAAAGTTGTAATTAAAACTGTAGTTAATTAAAATGAATTCTAACCTAAACTTCTTTTAGATTGTAATTAAATAAATAAATAAAGTCTACTAAATCGGAGAAATGAAAATTTTACTTTAGTAATATTTAAATATAAAATTTTTAAAAAATCGTAATATACTTGATGTGATAATTATTCTACAAACTGTAAGGTATTATAATTACATTTTATTGTTCTTGAAAGAAATATAGTATATTAAAAATTAAAAGTAAAAATATTTCAAATCGTACTTAAATAAAATGTATTCTTACTTAAACAACCCCCACCCCCCAAAAAAAAAAACAAAACTTAAAACATACGAAAGAAAAAAATGCCGTAAGAATTTTAGCCGTTAACAATATAATTTTAAAAAATCTTGACGACAGGCTTTTAACGGAAGTTAGATTTCATTGAAAAATACATCCCTTCCCACGACCCAAACGTAGCAATAACTGATACATTAAATTATAGACATATTGAAAACCCAGTCACCCCTGTCTAGAAAAATAGATTTATCTGTAATCTTGGAAACATGAATTTTGTTTTAGCTGTGTATTTAAAACCCAGTAATTTTAAAAAGTTACACCAAAATTCGCTTGAGGATGAAATGGAACTAATGTCTTTAATTTAATCACAAAATTAAATTCGGGGCTTTTAGCTTCCATTTTTGAAACATGGTTAGAACTGTGTAGCGAAAAAAAAAACCTATATTTTAAATCAATTAATTTATAATAGGCGTTGGTTAAATCCAGTGACAGGACCCAAAGAGTGTGAGTTCAATACCCGGTTAAGACAGTGGAGAACTTTCAGAGGGAAAATTAACAGGAGGTAATTGACATCCATCAAACATAGCACGTGGAACTAGAAAAGTCTACCCCAGTGAGCGAAATAAAGTGTTCAGTTCGACATTCCAACCACCTGAAGAAGGCCGGAACGTACAACGGCCGAAACGTTGTGATAAATATGGCGACATAGATGAGGACAATAGACCAAATATTTTAAATAATGTGTATGTATGTATATATATATGTGTGTGAGAGAGAGATATAGTAAAGATATTTCAGACCATAGTCTTGGTAACATTAGATGCGTCCTTTTAGAATTTTCAATTAAATGCCAATAAAATGCTTTTAAATTCTTTAACTCTGACTTTCAAGTCAGAGTTAAAGAATTTTTTTGTAAAAATTCCACAATTTTGCTAGACTATACTTGCTGAAAACGTATTAAAAGAAAATAATTTAAAATTTTTAGCGTCTCCTCTGCTTCGTGCGCACGTGTAGTCGCATCAACGTAAATATCACTTTAGTCTGATGAAGTCCTGAAGGACAAAACGCGTTGCAAGAAAACGTTTTCCACGATAAAATATATTAGACCACTCATAACCCCATTGAGTTCCTTTTAAAATCAGTTCATGATACAAAATTATAAAGTAATAATAATATCAATTAGATTATTAATTACACATATTTTAATTCGTATTTGTAACACAATTTATTGCAATAATTATTATTACTCACATTAAACAACATGACTTAGATCAGACGCAATAATAAATTAATAAATGGAAAAATTTTCAGAATTTGTGAAAAAATGCAATTCCTGGAGCACAGAGCAACAGAAAACGACAAAACTTTCAACATATTAAAATTATCAATATGTTATCATTGAAATAAAATCAATTGTTTTAACAATTCATTTATTTTCTTAATGAAATTCAGATGAAAATTCAATGACAGATGTTAGATTATCAAACAGCAGACTTTCAGAAGAAAAAACATAACTTAACAATATCAGAATGGCATAAGGCTGTCATTGTTCCAGGACTAAAACTTAACTTTAATTTAAAACCTCCCTTTAGCAAATATTGGCTTGCAGGGAAAAAAAGGTTTCCATCTATTTTTAGAATGGAATTGCAAACTAATATAAACACACTCACAGTCTTTCCATTCAAATAATAGTATCCCCTGGGTGACAATTTATACTTACCATATTATAATTTTCAAAAGTGAAAAAAAATGCAATCGTCTGCTTAGGGAGATTTTTAATTATTGAAATAAGATAACGTATGGATGTTTCCTTTTTACACGATTAGTTACATTTTATTTTTCAAAATAATATTTTTTTATTCCAGTTATTTCAAAAGACGTAACGGCGGCAAACCAGCGTGAATCTATGTACTTATTACCATCAAGTCATGTGACATAATTTTCCAGCCATGTAGATCACGCTTTGCAATAAAACATCAACATAGCGTCTTCACCTACCAAGTACTTACCAAACATCCGATATATTTGTTTATGAAAACAAATTTCTAACGGCGTGTACTGCATTTTAGAAATATATATTGAATTATGTATGTTAAAATTTATTTAGTAAAGTTGTTATAATCTATTATGCATGTTCATAATTTTCGCACGCATAATAGTTGAAATATGATATGCAAGTGCTTGTTCACATACGCGGACCGATATAAAAATGTGTATTGAAAACAAATTGTGGATTTCCTATTAAAAAAAGGGGAGCCTTGGCTCAAGAGCCCTTTGTTTAAACTTAATGAAATGTGACACTTCACTCGGCAGGTGTTCAAGGTAGAATATGCTCGGTTTTGCTATCATGTATCATTTAAGCTATATCTAGGGAACAAACCTACATATATACAAGAATAGTATTATACAGAGAGATCTATTTAAAGACAACAGGAATAAAGACAAAAGGAAAATATTTTCTTTAACTACCTGTTTGATAAAGTTGCTCAGGGTACGAAAATGTTTTCCTTTGTGTTCATATATATATATATATATATATATATATATATATATATATATATATATATATATATATATATGAAGAAAAATTGGAAAAAACAAACCAAAAATCCTTAAATACAATGTTGTTTAAAATGAATGAAATGTCGACGTCTGACGTTTTAATTCATTTTAAACAACATGGCATTTAAGGATTTTTGGTTTGTTTTTTCCAAATTTTCTTCATTCTGTCGGATCTATATCCATTTACATTTGCTTACACACACACACACACACACACACATATATATATATATATATATATATATATATATATATATTGTGTATTTAGGCAGCATCTTTTCATTCATACACGTTTCATTAAATAATTATACTTCGACATGAAAACAATAGACAAAAACTAAAAATCCTTGAAGCATTATACATCAAACAGTTGAAACCTAACCTAAACAAAATCAATTATGGCATCTCTACAAATATTCTTAAATGTCTACAATTGGTAGCAGAAGCCACTGTTTATACCAACGGTTTTCCATACTTCATACTTCTCCAATTCACTCTCGTGTGGTCATGTGTCACGTCGTGAGATGCGGTGCGATTTTCGCCTCTAGCGTCTTATATGCGTGTGTTTATCGTTGCTTAGAAATCATCTATGTAAACATAGGCAGACTATCATCACTGTCTTGTCCGTATATTGCTTAATATGTTGTAATTGACATCTTTGATAATGGCTTAAGTAAGCCGAAAGCTTAGATTGTATTAAAAAATATAGATCAATATTGTGAATTTCTTTCTTCGTTCAACGATAACGTTATTAAACTTATCAGAGATTATGAAAAAAATTTGCATAACACTTGTCTATATTATCGCACCCAGCCGGAAGTTACTGCCGGCTACTCAAGCGTCACCGCGGAAAACATAACGAATGCCATTAACTTCCGGTGACTCAGCGTTTTTCAGTCAACAACTCACACAAACTCAAAACAAACGAAACATTTACATACACATGCCTTCCTAACCAAAAACAATTACCAGAAACTACTTTATATACACATGGTGTCCGAATGGAACCCGACCTCAGCCTATATATAAACACAGCCGATTTCCTCCGCCAAATAATTCGCCCGACGAATTTTTTCGTTGGGGTTTTTGACAAATATTGGATCGTTCCTTGGCCTATGGCTGAGATTCGATCAAGGCTTGGACTGGCTCCGGCCTGGACTTGCTAAGACAAGTCATGACCAGCTTTGACTAGGCTCTGGCCAGCTTGGACAAGCTAAGACCAGTTTTGGACCAGTGGCCTTTGAGTGGAAACACTCGGGTCTCCCACGTTAAACGACCTTGTGTCACATCTTGACTTTGTGGGTGTCAAGTAAATACCATTCTCCCGACGAATTTTTTCGTTGGCGTTTTTGACAAATATTGGATCGTTCCTTGGCCTATAGCTGAGATTCGATCAAGGCTTGGACTGGCTCCGGCCTGGACTTGCTAAGACAAGTCATGACCAGCTTTGACTAGGCTCTGGCCAGCTTGGACAAGCTAAGACCAGTTTTGGACCAGTGGCCTTTGAGTGGAAACACTCGGGTCTCCCACGTTAAACGACCTTGTGTCACATCTTGACTTAGTGGGAGTCAAGTAAATACCATTCTCCCGGCGGAATTTTGGCCTGGGGGTTGAGCGACGAGCTCCCCCTCTCACCTTCGTTTACCACACGAAGCAGCCGGCCGACCCAGCTTCAACCATCAGCAGCAGCAGCCGCCGGCCAACCCAGCTTCAACCATCAGCAGCAGCAGCAGCCGCTGGCCCACCCAGCTTCAATCAGCAGCAGCAGCCGCCGGCCGACCCAGCTTCAACCATCAGCAGCAGCAGCCGCCGGCCCACCCAGCTTCAATCAGCAGCAGCAGCCGCCGGCCCACCCAGCTTCAATCATCAGCAGCAGCCGCCGGCCGACCCAGCTTCAATCAGCAGCAGCAGCCGGTTACTTGATATGCACTAGTCTATGCTCGGTTACATGCACTAGTTGTTTTTCCGGACTACCCCTGGTTACATAATATGCAATAGTCCTTTTCAGGACTAACCTAGCCGCGTTATTACGAATGACCTTTTATTAGAACTACCAAGCTGCGATCCTGCACGACAGTCATACCAAGGACGAACAGACTACACTAGCACCGTCCGCGTCGATCCTCTCTCTCCTCAAGTGCCGACGCGCTCTTTACACAAGTACAGACATCCAGGGATCGACTGGACCCCGAACACCGCTGTCCCATCGGCCTACCTCCAAGCTGTCGCCTTGAAACCTGACAACGCTCCTTCAATTCACACTCACTAACTACACGACCGAACTCCCACAAACGATTATCTGTATATACCTTTGCCAGATTATTTAATAAAATTTGGCTTAAACTTTTACATCCTCGTCTTTGTTGTCATTGCTTCCATCGTATTACCCTATATTATTTTTCTGCTTGCGGGGTTAACAGGCAACCTGCTTAGCGCCGCAACAATATTATTTAATGAAACGTGTATGAATATATATATATATATATATATATATATATATATATATATATAAATATAAAATAAAAGGCTCAAACACTAATATTCCATGATTATAATTTAATACATTGGAATCGTAATCATGATCCAATTCATCAGACCTACAAATTCAAAAAGAAATCGAAAAAAATAACTCCGGGTATAAAAAAAAAATTTCAGTGAGAGTGTATGTGTGGGAGTGGGAAACATGTGTGAGAGGGAAATGTCTGAAAGCTCTAGAGAGAGGTGTAACAGAAGAAAGAAGAACAGCAAGGCTTAAAAGTGAAGGAGGGGATTAAAATTTAACAGGGAGAAGTTTTAAAGAGAGGAGTTAAATAACGGTTTAAATGAGTGAGATACAGATAAATATGAATTATCTTCAGATGCATAATTCGCTACCGATTCGCTGACGTAACATTAAAGTTAAAAAACAGACACCGGAAACGTGTGGATACATTTGTGGTGACATTAGGCACAATAAAAAACGATATGATCTAAACTTAAAATCCAGCCAATTCATACTGCCGATGTATATGGGAAAATTTTCGTCTGCTTTTCATTACTAACCTTATGTATACAAGAAAAGAGAAGATGAGAGAGAGGGGAAAAGGGTGGGGCGCAAACTAAAAACGAAGGAATTTATAATAGAACATGTGTAATCAAGTATAATTAGACCAAGCAAGTAATATCACCTACAGGTAATAAATTTAACTTAAACATATAAAAAAAATTAAAGAATATTTAATCTAGTAAAGACCTACTATTTATATGCCCCAAAACACATACGTATATCCACACTTACACAAAACATATCTATACATACTCGTACATACATGCATATACATATGCATATATATATATAAATACACATACATTCATGCATGCATATACACATATACACATAGACATACACATATGTGCACACAAACACATATACATAAAAACTTATACACATTCATACATATACATACATACATACAATCATCTGAACAAATATACAACGTATCTATCTATCTATCTATATATATATATATATGTGTGTGTGTGAAAATATATAGAAAATAGGAAAGAACTGGTTAGGTAAATAATCCAAAGTTCCTTAGTATTTTTGTTATTATTTTTAAAAATAGTGCTCGATACAAAAAGTAGAGCATAAATATAATTATTTATTTAAAAAATATGATTCCAAACATTTCCCATGTTTCCATCTTCTGCCGAAATTTTTTTTTTTGGAATCAAAAAATTTCGTTTTGAAGATGGAATAGAGCTTATTTTAACTCAATTTAATTTAAATGATTATATTGAAGTTTTCGGCCTTGTTTTGAAACATGGGACTTATGTCGCGATTTGGAATCATATTTTTAAATAAATAAATATATATATATATATATATATATATATATATATATATATATAATTAAAAGGTAACAAGTAAGAGGTAAAAATTTAACATATAAAAATAGATGGGTTGAATTAGACTAATTTGTACTTAAAAAAACTACTGAGGAAGAAAACGTTAACAATATTAAAAAAAAAACAAAAAACAAACACACGGGATGATTAACGCGTATGAATCTATTAAGTCTATATATATGCCTAGGTATATAAAAATATCAGAAAACTATCAGATTTTGTATATCAGTTATCTAGGAAAACTTTTTACCTACATACCCAGATACGCATATAGCAACACATGAATAAAGTCTGATAACACAAACGGTCAAAAATATATTGAGCACCACATAAACACAGACAATGGAATATATAGGTAATAACAAGAGTCATTCCATTTAAATGTCATATCCGATGTTAGTGATTGAAGATCGAACTGTTATAGGTAACAACACGTTATAAAACCGTGTTTAGGTTTTAAAGCGTTTTTATGTCTACATTTGGAAATGATCTCACTACGAAGATTCAGCAACTAATCTGGATTTTTATCCCAATGCAGAGATCACACCGATCATATATTCTTAATCTGTCCTGGACATTGAGTTCTATCTGGATTCTATCCTCTTGAGAATTTATATATATATATATATATATAAATTGTATATGTATATAGTATATATTATATACATTATATTTTTTCAATTTATATATATTATATTTATTCAATATGCATATATATTATACATATTTATATTTTATAATATATGTATATTAATATATAATACATATAATATATAGATAATATAAATATATATATAATATAAATGTAATATATAATATACATATATGTATAAATGTAATATAAATATAAATTAAAATATAATATAAATAATATATAAATATATATATATATATAATATATATATAAGATATATCTAATATATCTAAATATTATATATATATATATATATATATATATATATATATATATATATATATATACCTGCAACAAATATATATAATATAAATTAGGATAAAGAACAATTAGGAAAAGTTAATAATCTATATCTGCCTTTATCCTACAATTAGTTCGGAATTTATATGTTACTAAAATTCTATATATATATATATATATATGGGTTTTATGTTCTCGTGTCTCTTTCTCTTTCTCTGTGTTTGTGCATGCGTAAAATTCATGTATATTTTTAACTTGACTTTTTTTTTATTTTTGAAATGTTATAATGCATCATGGCACGTCTACTATAAAAACCTTTGAAATAACGATAAAAATAATAATAATAGCACACACATACATACACCTACACACACACGCAAACATATATGTATATATATATAATTATCTATCTATCTATCTATCTATCTATATATATATATTATGAGGGGACTTAAATTTTGTTACAAATATCTAATATTTGGGTATATTTTCGAAAGCATATTAAGAGAACACTTATGTTTTATATATATATATATATATATATATATATATATATATATATATATATATATATATATAATACCTGGAGTGTTCTTTTCACACACACACACATATATATATATATGTGTGTGTGTGTGTGTATGTGTGTGTGTGTGTGTGCGTGAATTATATCATGCTACAGGATTTTCATATATGAGAAAAACGTAGCTAACATTATATGAAATCCTCCTCTTTTCAGTGTAACGTAATATTTTTTTTATTGTTCCCTTATTGGAAATAAAATACAAATATTTACTGCTGGCGGCTTTGCAATGAAAGACTGAAATAACATTTTGACGGGAAAGACAATATTAAAACAGTACAAGGTAACGATGGTGCTGGTTGCCGTTAACTCTCAAACAGAAAATACTCTTTAAAACAATACCATGGGTTGACGCAGGCCTTGTCAGTGAAATTGTGAGTGAGTTTTAGAATAGGCCCTGCGACTAGAAATCATTTTTTTCATATTACTTTATAAGTTACCCCAGATCACAAACACGAAAAAAAAAAAAAATAAATAAAAAATTCATAACCGTTTAGAAAAGTTAATAGTTTATAAAGTATTTATCAGTTCATTGTAAATCATTTCCCCTATTGAAGCCAAAACAAATAAAAAAAAAAATGCGAATAATCACCGTTTTCAAACAGATTTTTAAAAAAATCCTTTCACCCTAAGTTAAGGCCATAAAGTCACTAAGACGCAAGTGGTTTATGAGTGTTATAGAATATGAGAAAAATAGAATATGAGAAATGAACAAGAATTAAAAAGACAGAAAATAATGATTGACATTTAAAATTTTGACTTGACTTGGAAGCAAGAAACCGGAAGAGACTTCCACAAGCGAGAAGTGCGACAGAAGAAACTTTTTAGCATAATTGTGAAATAACATTTAGTAATTTATTTTTCAAAACTTTTTCCTTATATTATTATCGATTAAGCATGCCAGATTACGAATTTAATTGTTTTTTTTTTAGTTTTTCTGAAATCATATCGTTTTGATAATTTTTGTTTTGGCTTCCGTAGTGGGACCTATTTACAAAGAACTTATATAGCAAACAGGTTCCTCTTATTAACTTTTATAAAATTTAATTTAAAAGAAGATTGATATTCGTAATGTGGAAATTTAATCTATAGTCTAAAAAAAAAAAAACTGTAAAATCCTTATCAGTGCTTGCTAAGGTATTGGCGAACGATGAAAAGCTACTGCTTGTTTTAAAAATCCATTTCTGTTATTTTCAACTTAAAGTAAATAATATTTGTTTCAAATCCGATAATTTAAATCAGCTAATATTTCTGAAATAAAGTTTTAGAAAAGTATGACCGATGGCTAAAAATGGGCTATTTTTAGCAAAAAAGAAAAAAGAAAAATGAATCGACAGAATCAATATAATTTCTCTTTGAAATACACTACACAGTATTTTGCTTACGAGAAATAGTAAATTTAATCCGTTGGTTTTCAATTAAAACTAAAATGAAAGCTTCAAGAAAGCTTTTTTTTTAATTTTTAAAATTCATTTTAAATCTTAAATATCGCGAATTAATGGAGGTTCCCACTTAAAATGGTTACGGTGCCTATTCTAAATTTCCGTTTTTATAGCATCATGTCGGGCACAACATCAGTATTTATTTTAGAATTATCTATCGGATTCTATTTTAGAGCCACTTTCGTTTTCATTTAAATTTCACGAAAAATGAAAAAAACCTTCCTAAGGAAATAAAGGTAATTTATATATACGGAATAAGACAAGAAAAAGATGTATTCTTTATTTAATATACTATAATAGAATTTAATATACTATAATAATATATAATATACTATGATAATATACTAAACAAGTAATACCATATAGTAACAAAAACAAAACTAAAGG